AATCCAAAATCAAGCAAAACCAGCATTCATTCAAGCAACATTTCCCAACACATCGTCGATAAACCGGCCCAAAAACTCATACGATGAACCTCCTTCCGACATAACAGCCCGACTCGTTTCACTCAAAGCCCTCACCTTAGCCCGCCGGCCCTCATTCTCCGGGCCCATCAACTCCCTTATTGCCCTCTCTATCCTGTCGGCCGGCACAATCACGCCGCAATCCCTCCTGTAATCCATCTTAATCTCGACCGCAATCCCGAGCTCCGTCACCAGCTGGAACGCGTTCGCCTGCTGCTCGGCAAACAACGGCCACGCGGCCATCGGCACCCATACCGCACGCTCTCGAGCGTCGAGTTCCACCCGCAGTGCGAAACGAACCCCCCGACGGCCCGGTGGGCCAGCACCGCCACCTGTGGGGCCCACCCGATCACCTTCCCAAACCCCGAAGTCCGCTCCAAGAACCCGTCCGGCAAAAACTCACCCACATTCTCAAACTCCCCTGGCAACTCGAATTTTCCCTTCGGCGCCGGTTTTCGCAACGACCACAGAAATCCGCACCCGATTCTCTCGAGCGCGGCCGCGATCTCCCGCACCTGATCTGCGTCAAAACTCCCGCTGCTGCCGAAGCAGAGGAACACTACCGACGAGTCGGGTTTCTCATCGAGCCATTTCGTGATCTCGTCGAGCTGTTTATTGTGCTCGTTCGAATAATATTGGATGATGGGGCCCACCGGATAAACCGGCGGGAGATTCACGAGCGCGCGGACCGCGTGCGGCTCGAGTTCGAGAAAAGTGTTGACGATAATACCCTTCGTCTCCCTGAATTTCCTAGCGAAATCCAAGAAAATGCTCTCCTTGTCGAAAACTATTTCCGGCCACACGCGCGCCGGAACAGGGGAATCGTACGTGGGGACGGAAATCGAGGCGGCCTCGTCGGTATCCGCGTACTCCTTGAGGTCTCGATTTTCGAAATCGACGAGTCCCTGGAGGTGGAGAAAGAGGCCGAGGCACGAGGCGCTGCAAGTGAAGAAAACGTAGGACGGGACGCCGAGCTCGTGGGCCACGTCGACCATGGCCGTGCAGAACATGTCGACAACGAAGCCCGCGAGACGGCTCGGTTTCATCTGGCTCCCGGTTTCGATTAATTTCGACACAGCGTCCCTCACGGGACCCTGCTGGCTGGTGACGAAACGGCCCACGAATGAGTTGGGCGACTCGGTCGACGTGGCAAAACCGGATTCGTCGGGGGGAAGATGGACGAAGTGGATCCGTGAGTCGGGGGAGGTTTTCTCGGGGGATGAACCGGTTTTGGTGTCGATTGGGAGCTTCATGAGGATGATGGCGACCGAGAGGCGCGGGTCCCGGGACACGAGGAGTTCGGCCAGCTGGACGGCGGCCGCCTGGTGGCTCAGGACGGGGAACGGGATGAAGACGAGGGTTGCGTTTTGATCGGGAGACATGGATTAATTTCTTTCTTTTTTTTNGGTAGAAAAACTGGTTGATATGATTTAGAAATTTATTTTAAGAGGAAGGATTTGATTTGATTTATACAGAGGAGTTAGCACTTAGCAGGTAATTGGTGGTTGTTGAAAAGTTTGAATATTATAAGGATTTGTTGTAAGAAAAACTTGGCGAATGTTTGTGAGCTTGGACTGGGAAAAATAACATACTGTAGTTCTTTGACAAGATGGCTTGTCAGTTTCGTTATAATTAGTTGCTAAAGCAAATGTTTGGTAGTGTATAAGATTTTTATATTAAAATAAATTTAGTTTGGTAGAAGAAAATTAATTTTTCAAATAATTTCGTTGGAAATTTATTTCAACTAGTTTACAAGTTAATTTTGCCAAATACTTTCATATAATCTAGTTTTTTCTGTTATAAGTCATAAGATATAAATTATAAACTCAAAAATTACTTATAAGTTATAAGCTAGCTAATTTTACTAAACACAATCTAAATCTTATGTTTTTGTTAGAGGTTGATGTAACTATTTGTAGATATACTTTTTTTTTTACAAATTTGTAAAGTTTTATTAGAAAATATTATACTTTATAAAATAGTATGAATAAAAGTATAAAATCAATATGATTGTATAAGTATGCAATTTGTTTATTAAAAATACGACGAATGGATTTGTCTAACATATAATAATTTGTGTTATTAAAAAAAGTAAAAAACTATGAGTCACGCCGGAAAATTTTGACTTGGAAAGCAATAATTTAGGGCTTTCCGTGGATGCCATCGTCTTTCTGCCTGCCATAATAATAATATTCTTTTACACAAATTTTATTTTGTTTCTTTTTCTTTTGTTTAATTTTTATCTTGTTGAAATGTCATCTACTACAACAATTTTTAATCTATTTAGGGTATTTATAATTTTTGTATATTTATGCCTGTGTTTTTTACTTAAAAAATCAATTTGGAACAAAATATTTCATCAGTTCATCACTTTGGGTCCACTCTATTAAATTTTCCGTCAAATATTTTCGCAGTTTTTTTGTTTCTTTGAATCCTCTAAGTAAATGATGGACTCGTTTAATTACGCCATCTCACTTAGGAATTTATGAAACGAAAATTAACCTCTTCTGGTAAAGCACTCTACAACTTTTACTTCCCCAGTTCAGAATTTGGCTCAACATTCAAGTTTATTCAACAAATTAGGTAAAAACCCAAAACCCGTATATTGTAAAAGCCACACACAAACACTACACACTAAAAACTCTTTAACTAATATTCCTAATAACATCCTCAATAAAACTAGTTATAGCATGATAAGACGAGCCGCCTTCCTCTAGAGCCGCCCTGCTTTTCCCCTGCATTTCCCTCACCTTCTCCCTAACCCCACCACCGTCGGCCGCCATCAGCCTCCTCACCGCCTCCTCTATCTCCCCCGCCCCCACAATATTCTCCGGCGACGAGCCCTCTTCGGAACCAAAATCCTTCCTATAATCTATCCTAATCGCCTCCGCAATCCCGAGCTCCCTCACCAGCAAAAAAGCGTTCATCTGCTGCTCCGCGTACAACGGGAGCGTGGCCATCGGCACGCCGTGCCACACGCTCTCGAGCGTCGAGTTCCAACCGCAGTGCGAAATGAAACCCCCGACCGCCACGTGGGCAAGCACCGCCACCTGTGGGGCCCACCCCATCACCCTCCCGACACCCGAAGTCCGTTCCAAGAACCCTTCCGGAAGGACCTCCCCGAAATCCTCGTACTCGGTCGGGGGCACGAAAGCCCCTCCGGGCTTAACCGGGCCGCCGGGCTTTCTCAGCGACCACAAGAATCGGGCCCCGCTTTGTTCCAAGCCCGCCGCAATCTCCGCCACCTGGGCCCGGTCGAAGCTCCCCATCGTCCCGAAGCAGAGGAAAACCACCGACCCGTCCGGCTGCCTGTCGAGCCACTCCTTCAACTCGCCATCTAGGGTTTGATTCTCCGCGCTCAGTACCGGGCCCACCGGGTACACCCTCGGCATCCTCCCGTCCGTTTTTAACGACTCGAGCGCGAACGGCTCGAGTTCTTCGAACGTGTTGACCATGACCCCCCTCGTGTCGGCCACTCTCTTGAAGTAGCCAAGGAAATTCGAGGAAACTGGGCCACCCGAGACCATTACGCCGGGCAGCACTTTGGCCGGAACAGGGCTCGAAAAGCAGGGGACGGGCAGGTCGAGGCTCGGGTCCTTGTAGCGAGTGAGGTCCTCGCCTTTGTCGAATTTGAGGGAGACGAGGTAGTTGATGAGGCCGAGGGCGGAAGCGCCCGACGTGAAGAAGACGTAAGACGGGAGGCCGAGCTCGTCCGCGATATCAGTGAAGACGGTGCAGAACATGTCGAGGACGAGGCCCGCGACACGGGAGCCCGTTTGCCCGGCTTGACGGGAGATTAGGCCCGAGACGGCTTCCTTGACGTGGGGCCCGCGGGTGTTGATGAAGTCGATCATGGGCATGCGGTTGGGGGAAGGGGCAAAGTCGTGATTCGGGAGGTGGGTTAGGGTGAGGCGGGGTGCGGTGATTGGGGTGGTTTGGGTGTAGTTGTCGACGGTTTGGTCGGTCGGGAGCTTCATGACGAGGATGGTGACGGAGAGGCGTGGGTCCCGGTTGAGGAGGAGCTTGGCGGCCTCGATGGTGGAGACGAGGTGGCTCAGCCCGGGAGAGGGGATGAACACTAACTCGAAATTTTCCATGTTTTTTTTTTTAAATGATATATTTTTTTNGGGTTGTTTTTGTTGGGTGTTTATGAGTGGAAGGGGCAAGGATAAGATAAGGTAGTGGGTGTTGGGAGATGGTTTATAAAACTAGTGATGGATGAGCTATTATATCCAAATAGCCTTCTTAGAATCAGTTGTTTAATTGTTTGTAGTTGAAGTGTTGAATTTGCCTTGCAACTCTTGGTGCTGATATTTGAGGTAAGTCAAGCACATTAGTGTTAGAACTTGGAATAGTCCAAAAAGGATAATATTTGACTAGAACTTGTGCAAATGCAACTTCCAAGGAAGTGACAAGTTCAACTCTACTGGTGAGGACACTGTGCTTATAGGGTTTATTTTATTGTTAGATTATACACACTCGCATACACCGTCAAAGTAATAATAATAATCAGAAAACTATTTAAGTCATGTTCTAAAATATTAGTTAAAGAAAGAATAAATAAACCCTAAAAACATAATGCATACAAATGATATTATTAAGATATGTTTCATCACAAATATATACCATCTATCTCAAATCACCATCAATTATGCAACCAACCTCAAGATATGTTTGAATAGAAAAGTAGCACGAAAGAAAATTGGTACCCAGTCATGTGGTCGGGATTTTTTTTTATATATTTTCTTTTATTTTTATATATTCCCATATAGGAAAGTAGTGAGAAACATCATAAAATGAGATGAAAGTTTCATGCACAGATGTCAAAGGAACTGAGAATCAAAACTCAACTAAAGTTTACTTTGTTTTGTGTTTGTAATTAGTTTTTACTGAATAGTCTTATCATGAATTTATACATCAAGATAGAATCTTCAGTTTCAACTTTTTCAACGCCCTTAGTCCCCTAAACACTGATTAAAGATATGAACACATAAGCTAAAGATATTCGATTGCTACAAAAGATACTATCACCGGCATTAGCTAATATTTGCGCACGGTCGATTTTGCAAAAATAAAAAATAAAAAAATCGCAATTAGTTTGAATAAGGTAGACAGGCAAACCTGTCGAGACCGTGAAAACTGCAAAGACGATTAACTGCAGAACTCTAACGGTCGCCATGATTGAAGTGCTTAAAGCAGTTGATCTTGATAATCAAAGGACAACAACGAAATTTTGCCCGATCAAATACACAATGTGATGTTAATATGCATATATATAAAAAGCCCAATTAGAATATTGGATTATTGTATTTTTGACGAGAGTGCATGCAAATGTTGAAAATTGTTATTAGGGTAATAATTACATTGAGAGATATGCTATCATAACAAAATATTGAATTACCATAGCTTTGATTAACAAATGAATATATAAAGTCACCAACTTTCATTGATCATACTGTCTTTTAACTTTAATATATATTTTATTGACTTCTCAGCTCGACTTCTGGATACTATATATATTTTTATTCTTTACGAAATTTCATTTTGATACATTAAATTGACGGCCCCAACAAAAGGTATATCAATTTTGTAGGCATCAGCCTTCATCATCATAAATTAATTGTCAAAAATATTAAAGCATGTAAATTGCTCATGCATGATGAGCGAGATAAATTTACCCATCAGTTTGTCCTTTACAAATTTTTTTGTCACCTAGATCCTTTTCAAAATTTGTATATTCAATTGGTTCTTACCAAAGTATTCTGTTGAGATGGACTAAACATGGTCGTTTATCGACAAATTCTACCCCTACACGAATTTTTCGTTTTTTATCATTATAGAACAAGATTTTATCATCGCATGTGACGTCACAACTTACAAGTACATACTAAACAATATTGATCCGCTACACATATTTCATTGTAGCCAACTAATATGATTTCCTTACTTTCAACTTAGACAGCATATGAATTTTTCAGCAACCTTCGAATATCAGCCAATAAAGGAGTTTCATCCGTTTAATCATATAGTTTTTTTTTTTTTTTTTTTATTGATGTTTAGAAATTAGAATAAATGAAAACGATAGGATCTCAATTTCAAGATTGAACGAAAAGTTAATTAATCTGCTCTCTGATATCGGTTTACCAAACCAATTCATATGTTTGGTAAAAACTGATTTTGATAATATTATATTATCAATGCATGGAAAGATTAATAGATAGTGTATTTGTGGTAATTCAATTTGTACAATATTATGATACTGTAGAATAATTTCGGTTCGCTAAGGTTCTAGCTCGGCTAAGCACAACAAATTTAAAGCTTGTTTAGTTAACGAGCCGAATAATTAGAGCTCAAAAATAGTAAATTTTATGTAATTTTTATAGTTCGATTCGTTAAAACTTGAGTTCAGACTCAAATCTTTAATATTGATAAACAACCGAAGTCTCGAGTTCTCGTCAACTCGGCTCGTTAACACTTATAAGTCCATAAAAGTCAAAATTGATGAATATATAGGCACCCGAACTTAATCACTTATTGCAAGATTATTTGCAAATGTGAAATTGAAATTAACTTGTCCATATATAGCTAGCAAGGTTACTTTATATGTAAAATATTCGTACCTAGCTATATGGTATGATATAATCACTACCATATAATATAGCACTTAATTATGTACATAACTATAGAATCCAAAATCTAATTTCAATCACTCGAAAAAATATGAATTTTATTTAAATCATGTGCAAATTACACATGTTGAGTTATATATGCTTCACCATATGTTAGAGCAAACTCTCCTAGAACCTGAAATTCTAACACATTGGTACCTACAATTAGCTTTGATACACTCTTCATCACTGATACAAATGTGGGGGCATTCTTGTAAAAGACCTTCCTCATCACGTAGCAATTCCCTTGCTTGGACACCCGCTCCAAGAATCTTGGAGGATGGCAAAACTGAAATTTCGGCAAATAATATAAAGTAACCTCTATGGGAAATTATAATTACAAAAAATATCAAGAATATTTTTATAATTAGACTACACAATATTAGGGGTACTTTTGTATTTAGAACTACTCAATATACACACGGGGGAAAATTTTTAGCGCCTATCACAGTAAGGGCACTGTTTTTCACCGTTTGATCATTAGAACTTCGATAAGAGCAGAACCCTTACTGATAGAATCGAGCTTTCCATTGGTCGAAAACAAAAATTAAAGAAGACTGTAAAGTTGACAAACCTGCAGAGACCATGAAAACTGCTAGAACAATTAACTGAAAAACTCTAATTATGGTGGACATGCTCAAAAGTATGCTTTAATAAATTGAAATTTCAATTTTATTTTTCTTGATTGGGTTTAATATTGATAACTGATAAATTGTGCTAAGGAAATGAAAAGAGCATGTACATTATATATATATAGCTAGGTTTAGCTACATATATACTTGTGAACCCTATTTATTAAATTACCGTTAATTACTTGTTGCAAAATCTTTAGGATTGCTTCCAAATTGACTAGTATTCATGTAATTTCACAAATTACGAATGTGGAGTATATAATATGATTTATTTTCCTTTTCGCTGAAGAATTTGAAACATAGAGTTATAAGATTGTTGATATTCATATCTAGTCAATTTTTTTTTGATATTTCCCTCTTGAGGAAAAAATTGGAAGTTTGAATTCTGAAGTAATTACATCCAGTGAGACCACTAATAGTGTCTGTATAACTTGTTTAATAATTTTTTTCCAGTGCACATCCATTTGGATATAGTTTTAGTTCAGTCCCCTACAATTTAAGGTCTTATAATTTTTGGTCCATGCTATAATAATTTAAAGTTTGATATATACTTTTGATAAATACATGCCACAATTTCATTTAGTCATATTTTATTCAAAATCAACAGCTATTATAAATTTATAATCTCACAATACACATAGCTTAATTTTAAGTCTGATTTTTTTCCCATAATTTACATTTTTTACTTTCTAAATAAGGTTGAGCAAAAAAGTTCCATAAGAATCAATTATTGCCTTTTCTGATCCATCAATTGCTACGGCTATGTTTAGTAAAACTAACTGATAGCTGATAAACTGACTTATAGCTTATATGTTGGTAAAACTAACTGATAGCTGATAAATTAACTTATAGCTTATACGTTGGTAAAACTAACTGATAGCTGATAAACTAGCTTATAGCTTATATGTAATTTTTGAGCTTATAGCTTATAGCTTATTACTTATAGCTGAAAAACTAGCTTATATGATGAAAGTGTTTGGTAAAATTAGTTGATAAGCTAGCTGAAATAAAAAAATTCAATTAGCTTATTTGAAAAACTACCTAAACTAGCTTATGAGATAAGTTCGAGCTTTTTAAAAAAGTTCGTCCTATCAAACAAGACTTATTTGAATACAAGAAGTTTTTTAAGCTAATCAAATAAGCTATAAGCTAGTTTATTTGGCTTACCAAACATAGCCTACATTTTAAGTCATAAAAAAGGCAAAGAAAAAGAATCTTTTGTGACAATAAATATATCTTATAACCACTAATTAACACTTGATGAACTAAAAGATCCAAAAAAACAAACTCTATTGGAATTCCAGAAACGAAATACAGCTCCCGTCCAAGAACCCTAACCCCCAAATCGCGCAGATCGTCCCTTCCTCTCTTGGATTTTCTGGCCTTCCTTGGTGACAATTAGTTACCGGCCAGTGGTCATCTTGACCTCTCGGCCGGCCTTGGTTCGCAAACCTCAGGGGTCCCTGCAAGGGTAGCGATTGGCGGCCTTTCCTCCGTCGCCGGCGAGTATGAGTCGGGTAGTGGCGCTCCTCCGGTCTGGGTCGGCTGATCTTCCTCGGTTGGTGGTTGTCTTCAATTGGAGGTTAGTGGCCCTGTTCTTCTTATTCGCGCTGGTTCGTCGGTGGTTTCCCGGTTTGGTCTCGCTGTCATTGGCGGGGCTTCCGGTGGTTTCGGCCGGTGGTCGTCGGTGGTTTGCAGTGGAGGTGGGAGGTGAGAGAGCCGGGTTTAGGGCGGGACCCTTGCTGTTGTGGTTGTTCCGGCTGCGGCGGCAGGGGAGAGGGCTATTTCCGCCAGCTCAATCCTTTTCGCCTAGTGGTGATAGGCGGCGGGGAGGTTCCTTTTGACCTCGTCTAGTGGTGTTAGACGAGCTCGGAGGGAATCGGAGTGGGGTGAATTATGGCTCTCTCGGTCTTCGATGGGTCTATTCGGGGCTAGTTCGGAGTTAGGGTTTTGTTACTGTATAGGCTTGATTGCAGTTTCGGTAGTAGGCTCCTTGCTTGGATTGGTCTTGTGTAGATCGTTCTCTGCTGGTTCGGGCTAGTTCGTTCGCTGGGGAAGGGTTGTTAGATTTATTTTTGCTTTTGTGTGTTTTCTTTCTAGTGTTCTTGTTATGTGTCTGTTTCTGTTTAGTGTGTGCCTTGTGTTTTAGGTTTGGGCCGTTGGTCCCTGTGAGCCCGAGTGTCAAACTTATTACTCCGTGGGGGTCCGACACTCGGGTATTACTCCGTTGGGGGTCTTGTTTCGTTTTGTTGGTGTAGTAGGTTCAGTGTGGTTGTGTTTTTGTTGTTTTTGTGCGTGTTGCCCGAGTATTACCCCGTTGGGGTCGGCTCTAGGCGATCTTTTGATCTGCCTCCCAGTTTTTAGTCTTTGGTTGTATTATTCAGCCTTTGGCTGCTTTTCTTCGCACTTTGTGCGGTTTAATATAGTACCTCTATCGTTTTGGCAAAAAAAAAAAAAACACTTGATGAACTGAAATGCGACTTCCCAATATTTTTGTTACACATATATACAACTGTGAAACAACAAAGCGTTTGGCTCGCTAAAGCTCCAACTCGTTTAATGCTTGTTTAGCTAATGAGTCAGACGCTTGAAACTAGAGATTTTTATGTAAGTTTTTACAGTTTGGCTCGTTAAAATTAATAAACGAGTCGAACTGAAATCCACTTATTACCTCATTTTGTTAACAATTCGACTCTATGAAGGCTCGAGTCAATGCTTAAGCATCATGAGCTCGAATTTGGCTCGTTTACACATGTATCACACTCCTATTGTTATACTCGGACGCAAGCAACATAATTCATATTATACTTCAATCTAGTCTATTGTTATACAAGCTATGAAGCTACAATAACGAACTATATTACAAAGTCCAAAGCCGTACAATGACAAAAAAATCACATGCTGCTGAAAGCTTCATAATTTGACACACTCACGTGGAGAAGGAATCAATATCACGTACTAATTCGTCCTTTTCCACATAACAGTACATTGCTTCCTTCTTCCAAATTTATTTAATTAATCAACATTTGAAGAACAAAACTCACATTACTTCTTTTTTTTTTTTCTCCTTGATTAAACACTCGAAAAAGACCAACCACAATTTAGCCAAATGAAATCCTGGTGAACTTTGTAGTAAAAACAAAGAAAAAGCACATAATTGCAACATTAATATTATGAAGGGCATTGAAATCCGGATGGCGGGTGTTTGCCACAGTCCACAAGAACTTGGAGTGCAATAGGTATGATGATGTTGATGTTGAGAAGCTTGGCTTTGATGGTTGTGCATAGGCAAAGCGCCGCATCCAAGTCCACGAGCCCCTCGAGCACAGGGCAACAAGTCTCCTTAGCTCCCGACCCTATCCCGATGTGGACTAGGCCTCCGAGCACGTCCACACAAGCGTCGAGCTTGAGGGTGTCGATAGGGCACGTTTCTTGTGCCTTTGGTGGTGGTGGTGGGCATGGAGTTTCTTTGGGCGGCGATGGCGGTGGCAAAATCGGCGGTGTAACGACTGGCGGCGGTAAAATCGGCGGTAAAATCGGCGGTGTAACGACTGGCGGCGGGTTCGGAATGACTGGCGGTGTAACGATTGGTGGTGGTTTCGGAAAGACTGGCGGCGGTTTCGGAATGACTGGCGGTGTAACGACTGGTGGCGGTTTCGGAATTACTGGCGGTGTAACCACCGGTGGTAATTTTGGGGTTGTAGGGGGTTTTGGGGTGACGGGAGGATTGGGTTTTTTCGGAGGGTGTTTCGGGGCGGTGGGTGGTGGTTTGGGTACGGTCGGTGGCGGCAATGGCTTCACAGGTGGATTTTTCGGTGTTTTGGGATGATGTGGCGGCTGTTTCGGAGGCAATTTCGGGTGTGGATTTGGTACGTGAGGTGGCGATTTACCTTTGGGAGGGCATTTTGGAGGTGGTGTTGGTGGAGGGTTTGGGTTGGGAGGACAATATGGACATGCTAGTGAAAGAAGCAAGGTTCCTAGGTTGAGGAAGAGAATTAGGACATGAGTAATGTTACACTTGTTGCCCATGATTGAAAGGATGTTTTGGTACTTGGTAGTGTAATGAGATTGGGTTACTAGGAATGTGATTTTTATAGGCAACAATGAATGGAGTGAATGAGAGTATGAGACCAAAATTATGTTTGGATATGCTTTTTTTATTCAATAATTAAAGTGGGAGCAAAAGGGGGTGTATGATAAGAAGTTAGGCCGCGATTGGATATGACACATAATTGGTTTTAATCGATTTGGCCGAGTGGATTATTTTGTTTTATATTTACACTCACGGTCCAGTCCCACTTAATTCAATATTCACAATATTATTAATATAATTAAATAATCAACCTCACATCAATTGTAATTTATTATTTATTCACTTACATAATTTTAAATATCTATTTCTTTCAATAACTTATATCCTACTTTTACCCCACGTCAACTTTAATTATTATTTTTAAAATATAATTTAATTACAAACTCAAAATCATCCACTTAATTAATTTTATTCAAAATAACTCATTTTAACCAACTAAATCCAACTAAAACATATTATATTCATATCTCATTTCCATCACACCCTTAATAATGCCAAGTTATGGGATGCTTGGATACAAATTTCTCCAAATAAATTCAATCATTTTTAATTAATCACTTTTTTTAATTCAACTTCATTATCATCAATATTATCAATATAATTAAATAATATCACTCAATTATTATTGGACATTACATCAACTTTAATTCAATATTCATTTACTCAGATATATAATTTTAACTAACTATAACTTCACACCATCATTCCTACTTTTACATCAACTCAGCTTTACTTATTTTATTTTTAATATTATTTTAATATAAACTCAAAATATCACTAACAACTAATCATTTCATTTTTTTCAAAATTAACCATACTAAACCAAAAAATTCAAATAAAACCAAAAAAAACTTATATCCAAGGATAGAGATGTTAAAGGGGTTAGCTTTAGTGGTTTCGGGCTAGCCTTAGCGGGTTCGGGCTAAAAGTCCGGGCCTAAAAAGCCCGGATTTAAACGGGCTACCAAAAAAGGGACCTAACCCTAACCCTAGCGGGCTTCGGGTTAAACGGGCTATGCAGGTTATAATAATAATAATAATAATAATAATAATAATAATAATAATAATACTATATAAAAAAATAAAAAATAAAAAGAGTAAAATATATAAAAATAATAAAAACGGCTAGTTAACAATTGTTTTTAACGACTATTTATTATTTACCGTATGTCACTATATTTCATGTATTTCCTATTAGTCTTTCTGATTGGCTTAAATATTTTGGTATGAAATATAATAACCAAATTGTTAATAATTATCTTTCAAAATCATAATAATCCATTACAACTCGTACTTACATGTGAAATGGAATAGCAAAATTGTAATATACAAGAAATCTAAGAGCGTATTACTTATTTGATGCAAACATTTACACCGCCCAACCCTAGTTAAACGGGCTAACCCTAGCGGGTTTCAAGCTAGCCCTAGCAGGCTTCAAGCTAAACGGTCCGGGCCTAAAAAATCCTGATTTAAACGGTCTACTAATAAAAGGATCTAACCCTGTTTTTTTTCGGGCTAAACAGACCGGCCCGTCGGACCAAAGACCATTTAACATCTCTATCCAAGGATAAGTGTAGTTTGAATGCTATACTTGAGCTATATGTTCGTGGTGTGTCGGGTCTATTATCTATCGCAATAGTTTCTAACACGAAATATGGACCGATGAGAAAATCGAGTAATGACTCGGCCCGTACACCCGAATTGTTGAAATTAATCCGACCGACCCGACCCGACCCGCATTGTTCTTGATCACCCAAATCACGAGATAATCATGTATTCTGGGTACAGCTTGCTTTTTGGAAGGATGTGTGAGTTGTTACATATTGGGATTCTTTTTTGTAAAGCTGTGTGCTATTTTTACCTTGTATACTACATGGTACTATCTCCACCACCAATTTTTTTATATTTTTATTATGCAATGGTACGATTCTTACTTTTTTAACAGTTTGTGCATGTATGAAACTTGAAAGGAAAAATAATTTGTTCCAATCTGTATTTTNNNNAATCTTAACTATTTTCCTAGATCTGAGCTAGCTAGCCTTTTCATTTTATTGAAAGAAAAATAGGAATGCAACCTTCAATAATTGAATTTCTTTCTCTCCCAATATTTAAAAAATTCGATCATAAAGGTGTGACTAGATTTATTTTATTTTCTTGACCGTAGGTTCCTGTTGATCCAAACGTAGAAAAACTCACACCGGTAAACTCGAACTTTCCATCAACAGATCGATATCGGTTTTATTTTTTTCTGAAAAAGAAAAATAAAAGTACAGAAGAAAGGAAATTGTTCAATCAAAACCACAGTGTTGGTGTCAAGAAAAAATTAAAATTACATATAAAATAAAAATCAGAGTGTACAATTTTTCTTGGCCACCATATAGTATGTTTGTCACGATTCATTTGAACTGACATGAAATCCCAAAGCCCACTTGGGATATGGGCTCCCCCTTGGGCCTTTTTTTAGCTGCAAAATATCAAACTTTTTCATGAAAAATGGAATCCAAACAAGGGCAGTAGCCAACTTGACATCGATGTTGTGTTGGCATCTAGCGTACTGTTTTGCCTGTGAACCAATCTTAACCAATAATCACTCCATCGACCGGTCTTTTTTTCTATTTTTTTGCCCCACTTATTTTGCATTGTTTAGTGAATTAGTTAGGGTATGTTTGGATGCAAATATATCCACTTAAAATAAGTTTTTTCACTTAATCGTTAATTTGGAATACAAATATAATAATATATCTACTCAATATGAGTTTTTTTGTTAATCGTTAATTTTGAAAAATATGGTATAATTAGTTGTTAAATTTTAAATTTATATTAAAATAATTTAAAATAAAATAATTAAAGTTGATTTGATGTAAAAGTATGAGAGAGTTGATGTGAATTGATGAATAGTTAAAATTATGTGAGTGAATATATTATAAATTAAAATTATGTGATGTATATGAATGATTGATTAATATTATTTAATTATATTGATAATAATTGGATTGAGTTATATTTTAAATATGAATTGAGCATGACTTGAGTTATTTTATATACACACTTTTAGCAGCTTACAGGGGATGGTTAATAACATATTGTATTAAAGAAGAGCGGGCTATCTATTAGTTGATTTGTCTAATAGTTTCAGTTTGTCAAATAAATGTGGGTAAATAGCAAAAAAATTTATAGTTGTTACATTGTACTTTTTGTTTTTTTTGGTCATTTCTTCTCAAAATGATGTTATGTTGAGCTTTTTCACAATTAGTTTTATTTATCCAAAAAGTTAATCAAATAAATCTGTACCACATAATTTAATTAGCATATGTAATTGTCAATCCTCTAAATAAGATTCAATCTGCTAGCAAACAAACGGAACATATTAATTTCTTATGCAAGATGTATTCGAGCTCATCATGCTATAGACCCACTCGAGCTCAGAGTATATTTAGTAAAGGATTGAACGGAAATTGGTCGTTGAAAATATTGTTTTGGATAGATAGGATTGGTTGCTTCAATTTGATATATACAAGAAAATAAAGATTGGATGAACTTGACACTATATATATTATATTATATCGTATAAAATTGAAACTCACACACACGCNAAAAAAAATGTTGGACTAGGGAAAGAATAAATAAAAAATTTCCAACTCAAAAAATTGGTGAACGAAGTTAAATAACAACAAAACATAGTGATCTATAATTGCAGTATTTTCAAATTTTCCCTTGGTTCAAATGTGAACATATTTAAAACTTGCTAGGCTGTCGGCAAGAGGACAAAAGTGAATTTCTAGTCTTGAAAGGCCGAAAACTTATTTGAACTCATATGCATTGCATATGGCCATAGAAAATCTAGCCCAGCTTTTACTAGTGAAAAATGTAGAAATGAAAACTAAATTGAACCAATTCATGAACAACTTGGCCTCTGTACCACTCTTCCATCATCACTGACCATAACCTGCAAGAATTATAATGTAAGTTAATTTCACACCAATAAAACTTACATGAATTCACAAAAAGGACTTGCTGGGATAAACAGTGGTAGGGGTGGGCACGGTCCGGGACGGTCCGGGATTGGACCTGTCCCGGTACCTGTCCTGCTTTTTTGAACCGGTCCGGGACCGGTCCGGGACGACCCCTCGTCCCAAACGGAACGGTATCAACCGAGACCGGGACAAAACGGTTCGGGACCGGGACAAAACGGGAAAAAAAATGTTCAAAAATCAAACTTCAAACTAAACTATTCCGGGAATAGTTTAGTTTGAAAGGAAAATAAAAATAAAAATAAAAGCAGAGAAGAGTGAAAGGAAAAAAAAAATAAAAAAAAAACCTGTTAAGATTTCATTAATAAATATAAATTAATGTATAATATATATATATATATA